GTTAGCGTCCCCATCTCGTAGAAACCTAACTCGCTAAAAAAACGCTAACCAGAAAAAATAACTCAAACCATTTAAACTCTGCCCTGGGAGTTAGAGGTAATATGACGCTTCATGGTGAAAGCCGAGTTCCTTCGGAAGCCACGAGGCCGATGCCCCTTCTAACAACCAGAGAAACAACTTTCATAGGTACATGGAACGTCCGGACAATGTGGGAGAACGGGAAGACCAGTCAAATAGCAACGGAAATGAGGAGATACTACTTGGCAGTACTGGGAATCAGTGAAACCCATTGGACCCAAGCTGGACAACAAAGGCTAAATACGGGAGAGATGCTGCTATACTCCGGTCACGAAGAGGAAAATGCTCCACACACTCAGGGAGTTGCTCTAATGCTATCCAAAGTAGCACGAAATGCACTTGTAGGATGGGAATCTCACGGATCCAGAATCATCAAAGCATCATTCAAAACAAAGAATGAGGGGATCACAATGAACATTATCCAATGTTATGCACCCACCAATGATAGCAACGACGACGTTAAAGATCAATTCTATGAGAGGCTGCAATCAATCATGGAAAAGTGCCCAAGAAAGGACCTCACCATTCTGATGGGAGATCTAAACGCCAAAGTCGGAATGGACAACACCGGATATGAAGACATCATGGGACTACATGGACTGGGAGAGAGAAACGAAAACGGGGAAAGATTTGCAAATCTGTGTGCATTCAATAAATTGGTCATAGGCGGCACAATATTTCCACACAAACGTATACACAAAGCTACGTGGATCTCACCGGACCACACCACAGAGAACCAGATAGATCACATTTGCATCAATAAAAAGTTCCGAAGGACAATGGAAGATGTGTAAACCAGGAGAGGAGCGGACATAGCTTCAGATCATCACCTGGTTGTGGCCAAATTGAAACTGAAGCTAAAGAAGAACTGGACAACTGGACAAACAGCACCACAAAGGTTCAATACAGCCTTCCTTCGAGATACTGACAAACTCAATGAATTCAAGGTAGCTCTCAACAACAGGTTCCAAGCCTTACAGGATCTACTGAAGGAAGAAGAAACTACTATGGAGGATAGCTGGAAAGGTATCAAAGAAACATTAACTTCAACGTGTCAAGAGGTTCTGGGCCCCAAGAAGCATCATCACAAGGAATGGATCTCTACAGAAACACTGGACAGGATCAAAGAAAGAAAGAACAAGAAGACAGCAATTAACAACAGTCGAACAAGAGCAGAGAAAGTCCAAGCACAAGCAGAGTACATAGAAGCAAACAAGCAAGTGAAGAAGAGCATTAGAGCTGATAAGCAAAAATACGTGGAAGAACTAGCAACGACGGCGGAAAAAGCTGCAAGAGAAGGAAATATGAGACAGCTTTACGATACGACGAAGAAGCTTGCAGGGAAATACAGTAAACCAGAGAGACCAGTCAAAGACAAAGAAGGAAGACCAATCACTGAGATTCAACAACAGCGCAACAGATGGGCAGAGTACTTCGAGGAACTCCTGAACAGGCCGGCTCCAATGAATCCACCGGACATCGAAGCGGCACACACAGATCTTCCTATAAATGTCAATCCACCAACGACAGAAGAAATCAGAATGGCCGTCAGACAAATCAAGAGCGGGAAAGCAGCAGGACCTGACAATATACCAACTGAAGCGTTGAAGTCAGACATCGAAGTAACTACAAGCATGCTTCATCTTCTATTCAAGAAGATTTGGGAGGAGGAACAAGTGCCGATGGATTGGAAAGAAGGACACCTCATCAAGATTCCAAAGAAAGGAGATCTGAGCAAGTGTGAAAACTACAGAGGCATTACACTTCTGTCAATACCGGGTAAAGTCTTCAACAGAGTGTTACTGAACAGGATGAAAGACGCAGTAGACGCTCAACTTCGAGATCAACAAGCTGGATTCCGTAAGGACCGGTCGTGCACAGACCAGATTGCGACACTACGGATCATCGTCGAACAATCAATTGAGTGGAACTCGTCACTGTACATCAACTTCATTGATTATGAGAAGGCATTTGACAGTGTAGATAGGAGGACGTTATGGAAACTTCTTCGACACTACGGAGTTCCTGAGAAGATTGTCAACATTATCCGGAACTCATACGATGGACTACAGTGCAAAGTAGTGCATGGAGGACAGCTGACAGACGCATTCCAAGTAAGGACCGGAGTAAGACAAGGCTGTCTACTCTCTCCCTTCCTCTTTCTTCTGGTGGTCGACTGGATTATGAAGACCTCGACATCTGAGGGAAACTACGGCATACGATGGACAGCTCAGAACCAATTAGACGACTTGGACTTCGCAGATGACCTAGCCCTCCTATCACATACACACGAACAAATGCAGATAAAGACAGCCAGCATAGCAGCAGTCTCTGCATCAGTAGGCCTCAACATACACAAAGGGAAAACCAAGGTCCTCAAACACAACACGAAGAACAGCAATCCAATCACTCTTGATGGCGAAACTCTGGAAGACGTGGAATCCTTCACATACCTGGGAAGCATCGTCGACAAACAAGGAGGTTCAGATGCAGACGTCAAGGCAAGGATTGGCAAAGCTAGAGCGGCATTCCTTCAACTGAAGAACATATGGAACTCAAAACAACTTTCAACCAATATCAAAGTCAGAATCTTCAATACGAACGTCAAGGCAGTTCTACTGTACGGAGCTGAAACTTGGAGAACTACAACAACCACCATCAAGAAGGTACAGGTATTTATTAATAGCTGTCTACGCATGATACTCAATATCCATTGGCCGGATACCATCAGCAACAGCCTTCTGTGGGAGAGAACCAACCAGCTTCCAGCTGAAGAGGAAATTAGGAAAAGACGATGGAAATGGATAGGACATACATTGAGGAAATCATCAAACTGCATTACGAGACAAGCGCTAACTTGGAATCCTGAAGGGAAGCGGAAAAGAGGAAGGCCAAAGAACACATTACGTCGGGAAATAGAAGCAGATATGAAAAAGATGAATAAGAACTGGAAAGAGCTTGAAAGGACTGCCCAGGACAGGGTTGGATGGAGAATGCTGGTGAGAGGCGTATGCTCCTTCACGAGGAGTAACAGGCGTAAGTAAGTAAGTAAGTAAGATAAAGAACGTGTGAGGTTGACAGTTATTTTGTAACATTTATATCAATGTTTAGTAGACATCACATCACTCGATGTACATAAATCGTTTGGTTACTTTGATTTTCATCGATATTTACTTAAAAAGTTTGCCGCATTAGGTTAACTATAAAAAAATACTTTATGATTAGACGATCTCCCTCTGAGAAAATGACAACACTGAAATCATTTTTTATCGAAATACACATTAGAGAACAATCGTTTATCAAAAAAGTATAAATCAATCTTTTTTTCAAAGTGCATTACATTTTTCTTCTATATATAAATTATATTTTAATGTTATTTATTACACTTTGAAAGGGTAAGTTCACGTTAATCTTATGGAATTAACTTTCACGTTGACATAAGCTACTTTCATAAAATACTAACTAAATACGATTATAAATTCTATTGTTAATCGGTTCTACTTATATCATTAACACTTAGGTTTCCAGATACTGAATAATTAACACCAGTGAGTGGGTAATTAATCTTCGCTTACGGAATTTATCTATATCTTCATCAACAATATGATAATTGAACATTAAATTTAGCTAAGTGCGGTAGTAAACGAACTCACCAACTACATCATTTGACTGAATCTTATGATAACATACCTGGCTCTCCATGCCTGAAATCAATAGTTTATTCGGTTACTCCATTACTGGCGAGAAATATTTAGAATACGTATGATATAATGTCTGAATTTGAAATATATAATACATCGCGATCATGAAGTACGACAAAATGAATTGTTGCACAAAATAATAATTTTATAGACGGTCGAGCTTTTTTTATCAATCGAGAAAAGCGGTGACCAAAAAACTTACGGAACAACTCTTACTCAGTAAAATTACGCATTGATTGGAACCAATCCTGAAAAAGATATTTCGAACAACCGCTCATTATCACTTAAGGTGTATAGCAGATTGCAATCTGTTGGAACCTTGACTTAACAGTATATTTTGTTGGTCTTACCTATCTCTAGCACGATAAGTGGACAAAAAGTAAAAGATTTGCGACACTGCGACAATTAGGTATTGAATCATTTTTACATGTTCTTGAACTAAAACACCAGATTTGAGTGTGACCAACTTGGTCTCGTGTGCTGTTACGGGTATGAGGGCTGATGTCACTTCCCGGCTGCCCACACCGTGGAAGGGTATTTCTTGAGGAACCTGGAAAGGAAATCGGATTAGTGTTGGTCTTAGCGACCTGGGTGCGTGATCGCAGAGCCCAAGGGACGACTGCTTGAGGCCGGTCGCGCACGGCCTTTTTGTGGGAGGTTTTTAATGTGTTAGCTCCGTTCTTCAAACGGCCTTACCGCCGGAGACGGAAATCCGTGGGGTAAGGTGAGGTGTGACATTTTTAGGGTCAACTTTTTCTAACCCCTTCCTTCCTTGTGAGAAGGCAGCATCGCTGCAGATGCTGGTTGTCCGAGGGAAACACCTTACTGCCGTCACACCTCTGTGCAGTCAGCAGTACGACTTCGCCCTCAGACCTTGAGTTGCTGCTTTTGGTCTTACCGTTCTCCAATCGACCTGCCTGGCATGGTAGAACCTGCAGGGACATATGTTCCAGCCAATATAGCTCGGTTGGGTCATCACGATAGGCAAGCCCGACTACCACGTCAAGGTAGCAGCTACGATCCTACTAATATGAATCCAGTCTATAATCTTCTAATCCAAGTAAGTTTTTGCCTATAGACCAGGGACTTAAGCTTTAACTAATGGTACGCTTTGACCAACAATAATTAGTCTTGAGTAGTGACTGAGATAATATTAACGCGGATGAGTTCAGGTTGCACCCCTTATCCTATCCGAGTATTCAGTCCAGAGTAAGACGACAGTGAGCTAGCAAATTTATTGTTATATTCCAAATATACGCATTAACAGACACATATATGCATCAGTCCAAGTTGCCATACATTATTAGCACAACAAATCCACCATAACGATTTTGTACATTCAATTTGTTATAGTATTTCTTATACGCAAAGCCTAGAGTACAACGATACAGGAGGAATCGTAGGAACAATAAATAAATGCAATTTAGATAAAGTAACCAATTGATGACTAATTTTAATTAAATTGTCGTAATAATGTTATGTAGATATAATATTATAATCATATTGATAGATAATCTGTTTATCACTAAATCAAACAGTGTTAATTGAATTGATACCGCTGAATACAAATTTTTTGGAAAAAATATTTTAATTGCAAACTATTGACAAACAATATCATTTGACTAAAATGAAGAATTATTAGGATAATCATGAACATTTGCAAAAAAAGAAGAGTTAAGATTACATTTTCAGAAAAAACAGTAACAAATACATTAAAAAATATACAAGTTATTAACATACGTTCAAGTGCTAGAAACTAACACTTGGAGGACACAGATATATATATGGGAGACCGGAAGAATTAGAGCACGAGATAGTTGTTGAAATTATTGGAAATAGTAAAAGGTATAATTTAGCTCGAATTATATGGGCGAGTTACATCACTATTGTGTCCTATTATATCACCAGTATACAGCATCTCCAGGAGGCTTTACATATCCGGATACAATTAAGATAAAATCAACGATACTCCATAAACCAAGGCCACCGAAGCTAAATAATTTGCCTAATCCTTCTATCCACATGCCCAAATAAAAACGATCAACTCCCAAACCTCCGAAAAATAAACTTAAGATAACAGTTAGTATATAACTTTTACCAGAAGACCAATCACAAAGTACCATACGCCTGAATACTCTTCGTCCTATGCATAATATATGAGGAAATGGTTCACACTTCGTTTCATAAAAGCTCCGAGGTACATTAGGTTGACGACAGTTAGTTCGACCGATACAAACAATCTCAGTATCATCCAATTGGTGGCAAAATCGACACACAATCGGTTTTTGAATTAGGTATTTTGTTTGGTCGCTCATAGGATAAGAAAACTCTGATGAATTAGTTTGAGAAGTTTGGTTTACTTGAGCTATACCACTTGAATCTTTGCAATAAACTCCTGGACGGGGGAAGCAAGTAACATTGACTACCGCACCATAAACACATGAAGTATTGAAAGTGCACATAAGACAATAACCTGGTAACTCACTACACTTGTACTTCATATATGGACATAAATGCTGCCATTTAGCCTGTGTGGTCTGATTTGTACTCGGCTCATTTTTAGGTGAAGATAAGTTGGAAACTGGGAATAATGATACAGATGGATGAGAAGAATTTACATCGACATTTTGAACGACGTCAGACAATGAATCTCCAAAAATATGGTGAACTAGAAAGAAACAACCCAATGATATGGTTATTCGACTTGGTATTTTCGTTGTAAATAACTATAAAGTAAGAAAATCAGACATCAAAACTTAAAAGGGAGAAAAATGTCAGTTTCCAGAAATCTATGCAGTTAATTTTCATTGGATTAACTAAAAGGATGGAATTTAACAATTAAACCGACAACCCTTCATCAAAAATAATTTTTAATGATTAATCTCACTAAAATATTCAAAGTTAGATCATATTATCTATATATACGATTCGAACAGGAATCGCTTTCAGTTGATTATAGGGACCAAAATACTATCAGATTATGGGATAACAAACAGTACGATTAAGGTATTCTAAGCTTAAGTAACACTGAAACTATTGATAAGGTTGAGGAGTAACCCAGTTGTTAAGTATGAAATCTAGTATTTTCAGTTTAGTTATTCGAAAGCCTTTACATAATTAGTTGGTTATTTGTACTATTCGTACGAATTCGAACTAATAATCGTGCTCATACTCCGATAATATTCACAGGCTTATTAACACAACGAAAAAACAACTGAAGTAATATTAAACTTGTTTTCTGACAGCTAGAAAAACACTCGGGCAAAGCCGTAATGGATTGAATTAGAATAAGTATTATTTAGAAATGTATTGGAACAGAATGGAATAAGTGAAATTATGTATGCATTCCGAATTAATAAATCCAGGAAACCAATCCAATCAGACATTCAAACACATACAAGTAGTCATATGCAAATGAAAGGATATACAGATACACGTTACTATTTATTTATAGAAATAAATACGAAATAACCAATATAACTAAAATGACGTGATTATCTATTCTTAAATGCAGATTAAATGAGTATATAAACTGGTCATATAAATTCATAACACTATTTCATTAATAAATATTATCACAATAACACTTGTTTGGTAACCACAAGCATTAGAAGTGAAGTTGTTAACAACCAAATTTTCCCAGAAAATAATTCAAGTTAATGAAAAATTTTTGGATACACAGTCGTGTGAAACCATCATATTTGTAGCTCAAGATGAGGACGGTGGTGTTGTGAACTTTGAGCTAGACAGTTTGGTTGTAAAGTATTCATTGTTCTTCTGAACACCATTAGCACATAGCTCAAAGAGAAGTGAGCTATTAGAAATTATCTACAATTGGATAACAACCAAACGAATTCCAGGTCAACAGAACAAACTGTTAGTCAGCTGTGGGGAAACTCTAGCCGTTTCCTTTTCTTTGAAGTGTGTACTGATGATGTTGTTAAAAGGAACAATCGAGGCGTCACAACCAGACCATCCAGGCGGAGACCACAAAATGTTCAACATTGTTAACCATAATAAAGAACCCCCTAAAGGCTTATATGTATCTATTACATTGTGATGTCTAGAAGAAATCATGTGTGAGGTAAGCAAATTGAAATGATATGTGATATTAAGAACAATCTGCACAAACTCCTCGTTCCATCAATCGCAGTTCTCTTGAATTGCTCATGTCATCATATGATGTTCTAAAAGACCAGAATAGTGCACTAAACTCAAGCTTGTAGGCAAATAGATGATTAAGTGACACCAATATTATATTACTTTGTTAATAGGTTAGAGAGTTACAAACTACAACAATACTGTACCATGTTAGGTTAGCAAACAGAAATCTGTGCACACATACGACAGACAACTGTATGCCAATATGTAATTACCCGACCGTAGCTGCTACCTTGACGTGGTAGTCGGGCTTGCCTATCGTGATGACCCAACCGAGCTATATTGGCTGGAACATATGTCCCTGCAGGTTCTACCATGCCAGGCAGGTCGATTGGAGAACGGTAAGACCAAAAGCAGCAACTCAAGGTCTGAGGGCGAAGTCGTACTGCTGACTGCACAGAGGTGTGACAGCAGTAAGGTGTTTCCCTCGGACAACCAGCATCTGCAGCGATGCTGCCTTCTCACAAGGAAGGAAGGGGTTAGAAAAAGTTGACCCTAAAAATGTCACACCTCACCTTACCCCACGGATTTCCGTCTCCGGCGGTAAGGCCGTTTGAAGAACGGAGCTAACACATTAAAAACCTCCCACAAAAAGGCCGTGCGCGACCGGCCTCAAGCAGTCGTCCCTTGGGCTCTGCGATCACGCACCCAGGTCGCTAAGACCAACACTAATCCGATTTCCTTTCCAGGTTCCTCAAGAAATACCCTTCCACGGTGTGGGCAGCCGGGAAGTGACATCAGCCCTCATACCCGTAACAGCACACGAGACCAAGTTGGTCACATTCAAGTCCTTCCTACACCTCCTAATAACTCTCTTATCTCCACGACCAACCCTTCTCACGTCCCTTTATCACCTCGCACCGCTAGTGCAAACGATTCGAGTACGCGGAATGTTATTCCTGGTCTCCTGAAACCACGCTCTAAACTACACGTAAAAGCTTTCAACGTCCGAACACTGTGCCAAATAGGACAACACGCTTCCTTAGTTAGGACTTTAGAATCTCGCTCCATCGATGTGTGCTGCGTCTCCAAAACGAGCACACAGGATCCGAGTAGTGTTATTCATTTGACCGCACCATGTCAAAGTAACGAACCAACTCGATTTACGCTTCGTGTGTCTGGAAGCCCTGATGCTGCTTCCCGTGGCCTCGCTGGCGAAGGTACAGCATTGAGTCCTAGGGCAGAACTAGCTCTCTTAGACTGGATCCCAGTAGAAAGTCGTTTGTGCGCTGTCCGACTAAACGGAACAGTAAGGACTCGGAAAGATAGGGACACTCGTCGTTGCCTCTTCGACGTCTCTGCCTATTCTCCTACTGACTGCAGCTAAGATGATGTAAAAGGTGAGTTTTACAGAAAGCTTTCCGACCTTCTCCGAAAAGCTAGGCGCTCTGATGTAGTGATAGTGGCTGGTGACTTTAATGCTCAAGTAGCTAAACTAAGCGAAAGGGAAAGACACCTGGGTGGATCTTATGGTGTCGCGGCTCAAAGAACAGCTAACGGTGACCGTCTGTTGCAGCTATGCTCAGATAACCGCCTGTTTCTTGCAAACACTAACTTTAAGCATAAGGAAAAACATCTTTTAACATGGCGACCCCCTAATTCGTCCCAACGCTGGACCCAAATAGATCACATCGCTATCAGCCACCGATGGAGGGGCTCGATAGAAGACTGTCGCTCATTCTGGAGCACATGCTCAGACTCAGATCATGGTCTAGTGCGAGCGCGTATTTGTCTACGTCTTACTGGACGTAGGAAAGGTGGTGCAAGGAAACCCCTTAGGGTCCTGCTTAATGATAGTCAAACTAAGAGTATATTTCAGGAACATCTATAAAAAAGGACAAAAGTCCTCCTGTGACAATCACAGAGAAATCAGTTTGACTAATATAGTGTCTAAAATATTAGCTTCAATAATACTTCGACGTCTAACCAAAGCTCGTGAAGAGCAGACTAGAGAAAACCAGGCTGGTTTTTGACGTGGACGTGGTTGTATAGATCAAATATTCACACTACGTCAGGTCCTAGAACGTAGACACACATTCAAACGCCCACCAATTATAGTATTTCTCGACCTTAAGGCGGCATTTGACTCTGTTGATCGTGAGGTTCTATGACAGTGTTTGTCACTGAAAGGAGTACCAAAGAAGTACATTAACCTTATAAAGGCTCTCTACTCGAACACAACTGGTCGAGTGAGAGCTTATGGTGAACTGTCATCAGAACTGATTACCTCAAGTGGTGTTCGTCAAGGCTGTCCACTCTTTCCATTCTTGTTTAACTTTGTCGTTGACGTCCTTTTAGAGATGACACTTTCCTCATCTAAATTTCCAGGAGTTGAACTTCTACCGGGAGATCCACTTGTTGACTTAGAATATGCCGATGACATAGTTCTATTTAGTGAAGACGCTGACAGAATGCAAAGTCTGCTGACCACTCTAAGCAACAATGCAAGCATGTTCGGCATGCGATTTTCTCCCTCGAAATGCAAAATGTTGCTTCAGGATTGGGTTGCGTCGACACCCGAACTAGTGATAGGGAGTGAAGTAGTTGAGCGTGTCGACCGCTTTATTTATCTCGGAAGTCTCATCAGCCTTTGTGGTCTGGTGTGACGAAATCTCAGCACGGATACAAAAGGCTCGACTGGCTCTTGCCAACTTCCGTCATTTATGGAGTAGGCGAGATATTCATCTATTAACCAAAGGACGTGTTTACTGCGCAGCAGTTCGTTCCGTCCTAATTTATGGCAGTGAAACATGGCCAGTAAGAGTCGATGATATTCGTAGGTTATTAGTATTCGATCATAGATGTCTTCGAAACATTGTTCGTATATCCTGGGACCACAGAGTAAGTAATGTAGTTGTTAGGAAATGGGTACTAGGTAAGGATGGCAAATCAATTGATGTAGTAGTGAAACTTCATCAGTTGAGATGGCTGAGACACGTGTTACGTATGCTCAACCACCGACTGCCCCAACGTGCGATGTTTCATGGTTGGAAGAAAGCTAGGGGCGGCCAGACCGAAACATGGCACAAATCCATGAAGTCACTGACAAGTGGACTGAATCATGTTGGTAGGCGTAGACTACCTGGTTGGGATCCTCGAGATGACAGCAACCGATGGTTAGAGACCTTGAATGGCATGGCTCAAAATCGTTTTTAATGGCGCAGGTGCATCTACTCTTTGTGTTCTCTCAAACTCTAATCTTCTGTATACTTCATGTCTTTTATTTTCTTTCCAAATCTATTCCACTGGATTATACTCCTTAAATAACATCATCAAACCTTAATGTTCCCTGTCACTACTTATACTTTCACTATCTCTACCACTACGGGATTTGAATCGATAAATGAATCTCTGTGCTAATGTGGTATGGCAACTCGAAGTGATGTACGTACGTACGAAGTTCCACGTTGTTACTGACTGACTGACAATATGTAATTATGTGAAGACACATATCTCTCATAATTACTCAATTTATCAGATGTTTATGTATTATATTATTTTTATTTTTTGGTTTTACTTTATCTACATCAAATACGACATACCATTTAGTCAAATACTCGTTCTTCAATAATATTTTCTTATGAATTGGAAGTCGTTATCGTAGAATATTCACGAGTGTAAATGACAGATGAGTAGTTCGTAAATGGTAGTGATATCATTACAAAAAAAGAAAATGGATAACCTGAAAAACAGAAAGTAATAACAGTAAGTTTTTTTAACAGAGTCAAGCCACTCACCATCGTGGAATTTCAGACTTCGAAATAGGTATTGATATGTTATACGCCTTCTCTGTAGATGTTATGCAATTAGTATACACAGGTGTTATCAAAAAGCTGATAACCTTATGACTCGATTTATCACGTAAGAGACTTGAAAGCATGACAAAGACTGTCACTACGACTATAAGTGAATCACTGTTGCAGTGTGCTGAAAATGTTAGATGATGTATCTATTTGGAAAGCAACGGAATGTTGTCTATTTCTTCTGCATTTAAGTCTGACTACACTAAAAAATGTTCTATCTTGCCTTCTTATCTAAATTCCCTACAGTTAGCTACTTCAACTTATTCCTTACCTCATCCTAAGTCATGTAGAGTTCGGTTGAGTCTGTTAGGAAGTAATTTCCTTGTAGGATATAAGTGGTGCTACGGTGCAGGACAGTTAATTTACAAAATTCATTTACTTAAGCACATTGCTGATGACGTCAATCCACGTAATGTGTTAGACACACACTCATTTTTTTTAGTCCTATATACGTCAGATCAAAAGGATCATACATTGCTGATACGTTGCAGCCAAACAGGCTGTTTAGTGGTACACTGAGAAATCAGCTATTAGTAGGTCAAAAGGCAGTAACCCCGCCATGAATAACGAAAATTCAGCTAACTATGACGCAAAACAGGTAATAACTTGTAGGAATACTAGGTTTACATAATTTAAACCTGAAAATGTAGTAATCGTCAGTCCTTTTAAAAAAAAATTGTTCTAACCTACGCTTAAAAGGTTTGCAGTTGTTAACGCCTTTGTTAGTAGAAAGGTTCTAGCCGTAGCTATCAAGTGGCTAGTAAATCAGAAACTATGTATGTATCCGACCATTTTAGCGGACATGGTGTTTCGAAACAACGTGGATCCGGACGACAGTTAGTTCACTGTAAAATGTGAAGCTATTCACTACTTTGGTTAGTAAGAAGCACTAATTATTTCTTTGTAGATGAATTCAGATGTGCTGCAGACGTGGTCAACCCCTTCACCAATAAAGTCGGATAGTGTCACTCACAGGATGAAGACACCGCACCAACGTACACAGAAAAACCCAAACGGTAAATCAATTACAGATTCTGATTTTCCACCAAGATATTTAAACACCAGTCAAATTACTTATACGACTTTTTGGATTTCGCTGAAATGCAAACAGGATACAGCCAGGTCAAGTATTCAAATTTGGGCTGTTCGAAACCACAACTTTCTTAATTACCAAGTAAGTCTGTGATCTCTATAATTGTACATGAATAAGTCCAGTGGAAGTAGAGTTGTTTTTGTCAGTCACTGTCTAAACACTCGATAACACTGCAATCTGTGACCAGAAAGTTTTACTTGGGACTTTCTGAAGTCTTGTAGATCATCAAAGATAAATACAAACATGAAAAAACTGTCGGCCGAGATTGTGGAGTTGTCTTTAAATGAGGCAAATAGTGCTATTGTTGAAAACACCAGCAACAGATAACCAGTCAAAACAATTTAGCGAGGGATTAGCCGGCTTACAGTTCCTTTTATTAACTGAGTATGAACTGTAACCTTCAGGTGTGTTAATTCGGTAAGAAGCTACAAGGGATAATTTTGTAAGTAAACCGATTTAGTTTACAATCTGTGTACTATTCATCACTATCCGAAAACGTCCCTCAAATCTCTACTATTACACCTGATGAAACCAGAATTAGCAATGAATTTCACGTTGATAGGTACTGATACAAAACGGGAAATTATAAAGTACAGATTCTATAACGCTATAAGATGTAAGATAACATTCTATTTTGTGTTATTAAAAAGGTACATTAACACCACAATCTCTATTATTCAACGTCGGCGAGAAAGATCTTGCAAAAGTGCACGACGTGGCTACACAAGGGTTCTTTTTAAGAAAAGAGAGATAAAGTGGACAGGCATTATTATCAAAAGAAAAATTAAGCGCGGTTTTGTAACTGAACATTTTCTTTTCGTTTTTTGGATCCCGTCATCTTCCCTTTGCAATATAACTGTAAGTCCCAGGGTATTGAATAACAGATGCCTGATAAGCATTTTATAAAAACATCGATAACTGTCAACTGCTGTTCTGATTTAAAATTTAAGCGATGGGAATTCTGTTTGCCACTGAAAACCATGTCATTGTGCACGTAACTCTTAGTGTGAAAAACTTCTTGTTAAATAAAATTCCTTAAGCTCATACTGCGCTCCTTACTTTGAGCGAGTACACTGAAACTAACTAGATGTAGAAGGTAAACGATAATGTATATGAATATCTCGTATGAAGACAATTTTTTGTTCGTTTTAATGTGGACGTTTCACCGTTTCCTCTACGTAAATGTTCCTGACAACTGTATATGCAAATATTGTTAACAAATCGTTCCCGTTTAAATCACTACGTTGATTATTGTAGAGCACGTATATGATTTCTTTGACCTACAAAATTGAAGGCAAACCCCCAAAGCATATATTATACTGGAGCACTAGGTTCAGATAAAAATTAACTACTTCACTTGTTATTACTCCAAAGATTTGATAGTTTGGAGTAAATTTTGGGGAAAAGTAGACGAAATGGAAGGTAATTTGGAGCAAAAAGACGAATCAGGGTTAATTTCGGGAAAAAATGGACAGATTGAGTTAACTTCGGAGGAGCCAAAAGCGTTAATTACGAAAGTTTTCCTCTCATCGGGGAAAATATACACACTATTTATCCGGACTGTGGAAATGGCCGATATTTTGATTAATTTTCGCCTATATTCACGCTGGCGATTTTCACACATTTTCGCCGGAATTCAAACAAAGTTCACCTTAACTTACCTCATTTTGTTTGCCTGAGTATCAAGAAATGTGAAATCAGAAACTACCTTGCGCGGGTAACCTTGAAACCAAACTCCCTCTGTGATCAAATGCAGAAATCTGTTGCTTTTAGTAAAGACAGAAGCCTTACAGCCTATGTTTTTCCTTTACTATTATGCTTTTAAGAGTGTATGATCTTCCTCGTCAATGAGCTAGGGGAAGATGCAGACTCCACTGCTCTGGGTAATAGGTGTAGCGGTAAATAAATTTCCAAAATAAATAGCTCTGTAAGTTTTCGACATTGGATGCTGACCACATTAGTTTTAATGAACTCATCTAGCTGAAGGCGCTCGGTCATGCATCCACACCAGATCATGTGTGGGAACGCCGTGCTCAACATCTACTGCAATCGCTGGCCAGATTAGTTCAGACGATCCTCGATATATTGATAGCTTATAAAAAGTATATCTTCGAACCTCCTCGCTTCTGTCTTTTGATTTCACTTGGTGGGTACGCCTCATATTAGATGGTGTTACTGGTTAAAGCGTTGTCGAATTCCGAATGCCTGTGGCATCTTCATTGGTGAGCCCGACGTGATCTGGTACACCAAATCGCAAACTGTGAGTCTGTTCCTTTTTGGGATTTTATATATCATCGTCTTATTTTAATTTTTTTATAAATTGTGTTTTGGGATGTATATATATATATATATATATATATATATATATATTTCCAACTCGTTCATTTTCGTACTTGATATATCACCATGACTGAACAGACACCTAAGGTATTTAAGTTAAAGACTGTATCCCTACCTTCCTTTCAACTTATGCCCTTCTGGCTAGACAACATCGAAGCCTGGTTCTGCTACGCAGAAGCCGACTTCTGCGAGCACGGCATGAACGACACAGGTGCACAATTCCTCGCGGTAGTCAAGGCACTACCGCGCGAATTCAACAGGTACGTAACACCTAGTATGTTTACTGGTGATATTTCTGAACCATACAAAACCATTAAACGATCCATCCTTAAACGCCGAGATTTAAGCGATCGACAAAGCATAGACCAACTCCTTAACAACATCGAATTGCAACACGGTTCTGCCACAGATATGCTACAAAGAATGAGAAAAGTTCTTCGCCAAAGATCTTTCGATGATAGCCTGTCCAAATAATTTTTCTTATCAAAACTGTGCTGGTCTCCTTTCAAAACAACGCTGTAGACAATCTGGCTGCATCTGCCGACCGTATCCTCGAAATCACTAAATCTTCTAATGCCGATGTTTTTTCAGTGAAAGAAAAGCCTCAAACAACCCAGAATGACATAATAGAGTTACGTCATACACTTACACGCTATCTTAAACTTTTAACGACCGTAAACAGTCACGCACCCCGCAAAGAGGCACTTCACGTAGGCTATCTGTCTCTAGACCTCGAGAGACGGATAATCCTGACTGGTGTTGGTATCATAACCAGTATGGAAAGTCCTCCATAAATTTCAGTAAACCCTGAAATTTTCCCAAATCAAAATCGATCGACACGAAAAACGATTCGGGAAACTTCCAAGCCTGCACGGGTTAACGGCAACGTAGCCGGCGAACATAGCCGTCTGTTATACCTCACAGGTGTGACAACGAGAGTTCGCTACCTCGTCGATACTGGCACAGAAGTTAGCGTTCTCTCAGCGAATTCCAACGACCGGCCTCACGAATCGGTTTTAAATCTACAGGCGGAAAACGGTAAGGCTACCGCTACGTATGGAAAAAGGTACGTTTATCTTAACGCGAATTTACGCAAACCCATTCACTGGATTTTTGTTGTTGAGGATGTTTCTACGCCAACCATTGGTATGGACATTCTACAGCACTACAACTTAATCATCGATACGCGCAGACGGAGACTAGTAGACGGAAATACTAATTTATCTGTTTGCGTAACTTATTTTTCTGGTTGCAGGCTATCTCCTGCCACTATCAAGCACACTATAGACCCCTTCTACCAACCAATACTCGATAAGTAATCTGGCATTTACCAACCCCAATCAAAACTGCTGTGTGTAACCAGCAATGTTACACATCACATCACGATTACAGGACCACCTGTATCCTCTAAAGCACGCCGACTAGCCCCCGAGAAGTTTAGGTTGGAGAAAAAAACGAATTCGACCATATGATAGACTTAGGAATCATACGACAGTCAACAAAGCCCATGGGCATCTCCATTGCACACGGTCCCTAAAATGGACAGAAACGATTGGCGTCCAACTGGTGACTATCGGCGTTTGAATGCAAAAACCATTCCCGATCGTCACCCGTTGCCTCACATTCACGATTTGACAGCTACCTTGAAAGGTACAACTGTCTTTCTGAAAATCGACTTGGTTAAAGCCTATAGCCGAATTCCTATGGCCACTGATGATATTCTGAAAACCGCTATAGACGGTTCACTCCCAAATGCGCCTTAATTATGAAACCTCTCACCAACCAACTTCGTGGAAATGCGAAATCCATCAATCTGGATGACAACTCGCGAAAAGCATTTTCCACAGTTAAGTAACGTATCGCTCAGGCAACAATGCTTGCTCATTAGGACACTGAAGCACCCATTAGTATCGCAGTAGACTCATCCGACTCAGCAATCGGAGCAGTCTTACAACAATGGGTTAATCATTCCTGGCAACCTTTGGCATCTTTCTCTAGACGGTTGCTAGACACTGAATCGAGGTACAGTATATTCGGTAGGGAACTCTTAGCTATGTATTGTGCTGTCCGGCATTTTCACCTTTTTACTGACCATAAACCTCTTACTTTCTCCTTAAGCTCTTCTTCAGAAAAGTACTCACCACGTGAGTCTCGACAACTGGACTACATTTCGCAGTTTACGTCAAATATTCAACACATTTCTGAAGCAAACAATATAGTTGCAGACGCGTTGTCTCCAATAACGTCCTTGAACAGTTTCCAAGGAATCGACCTTCTAAAACTCGCCCAGCTTCAAAAAGAAGACACTGATCTTAAGCACCAAATGTCCTCAACAACACTTAAACTGAGCATTAAACAGATGGAACAGGTAAGGAAACCTTACTTTGTGACACATCTACAGGTAGGGCTGGCGAGACTCTAATTTGGGGACGACCTTTGAACGAATTTTAAGTGACCTTGAGAATATTAGCCAATCACAAGACAGCTAGTATAACGTAGAAATATATAAGAAGAAACTAATGGATTACGGTGAATATACTTCTTTTACATGATTTAAAAACTTGTCAAGGTTTGCTAAAGTTTCAGATGTTTTGAAATCATATTGCATACAGTATAAAAAGTCATAAATTCCAAGTACCTGTCGAGTATATTCCCAATCAACCAATAAAGGGGAAATAAAGGCGAAAAAAGGGGAAATAAAGGGGAAAATGCTTTGGCAAAGAAAGGGAAATAAAGGGGAAAACGCGCCGAAATGTCGCCTTTTTCGCCTGTCTGGGGGAAATAATGCGGATTTCTCCCTTTTTGTCGCCTTGTCGCTAAATTGTCTACTTTTCGCCTAAATTTCCGCCGAATTGTCTAATTTTTGCCTAAATTTCCGCCGAATTGTCTACTTTTCGCCTAAATTTCCGCCGAATTGTCTAATTTTTGCCTAAATTTCCGCCGAATTGTCTACTTTTCGCCTAAATTTCCGCCGAATTGTCTAATTTTTGCCTAAATTTCCGTCGAATTGTCTATTTTTCGCCTAAATATAAGCGGAATTGACTGCTTTTCGCATAAATGCACACAGAATTGCGCGTTTTTTATCCAACCTTAAAATCGCCATTGGCATTACCCAAAAGCTCTCCGAAATTCGCCTTTATTTCTACAACCAACCACAGTTAAACTGCAATGGATGGGAAAAGCGCTATATATGTTTACATATTTTTATTTCAAAGGAAAAGCGTTTTCTTGTACAAAATAATAGTGGAAGCTTGAGTATCAGTCGTTTAGCATTTCAATTGTAATTACCAATTCGTCGTGCTTTGAGATCTGCAACAGAACAAACATGTGATGTATTATTTATAACACATGTGCGTTTAATTGAAAGTGCGCTGTCAATGAGTAAGAATTTAAGATCTCCAACGAAAAAATGTTTATTAAAAATTAAGTACAACGTCAAAAAAAATTACACCGACTACATTCTTCGGCAACGTTTGTTCAGCTATTGACAGTGAAAGCAGTCGTCCTGTGAATTCTGAATAGTAAAAAATGAAAAGTCAAAACGAATTCTGAAAAACATGCTGAAGCATGTCCCAAGACACAGAAAAGTACTTTAAGCTAAACTTACGGTTATGTTCGTTAAGACTGTTGACTGCAACTATAAAGCAGTAGGGAAATTATCACTTTAAATTAGTACATACCTGATCTTGCTTCCGTCGATTACGCTTCATCAACTTGTCTCTGACGTCATGGAAATAACCTTGTGTCGCGATGTCGTAAAGCTTCGCAAGGTCTTTTTCATTAACGGAGGATGACAAGAAGCGATTCGTCAATGCACATGAAGTTTAATTTATAAGTATAGGTTACTTCGTATGCAGCCATAAAACCGGCATTCCTGAAGTGCGCGCTTTGAAGAAGTGCCCAGCAATGTGAAATTACTGGCCACCTCAGGTGTCATGATGTACGACAAAACGTAACGCATTGACGTTTTAGGGTCATCATCCATTAACCTCGTCAGCATCGCCATCTGTTATACGAAGATGTCAGTAAATTAATGTTGCTGACTTACAAATCTGTCCCTCGTTTCCTTCTGCTGCAACCCAGTGTCCAGCATCTGCAGTTCCTCTTCCGAGGACAAAGGGAACTGCTGACTTGATACTCCGCAATCGAATTGATGCGGATGATCGTGTTCACTAAACTTGGCTAGTAGTAGCTCAACATTTGTACTCAAGTCAGTAAATTTACGGAAATGCTACTTAAACAATCCTACTTTATACTACGTCCCCTGTTGTATTTTCGCTTTCTCACTACCGTTTCATCTATCTGCACGATACATCCTACTCCTCCGAATGATTGGTGTACACGTGTTATTTTAGTTGCACATATGTCATGGCAGTACTCATACCACTGAACTGCTGAAGTTTCA